TGATTCTTACAAGACAAAATGATATTCTCACCACACTCATTGGAAACCACTTAGATGAACCACCTGACTTGGACTTCAGCTTTAACAAAGCAGTCAGATAAGCTTGGTTATCACTGAAGGTCAAAGAGGTACTCAGGAAAAGATGTAGTGAATTTACTATCCAGCTTAGTAAAAAACTTAAAAAGTTTACACCACATTGTAACGAACGTGAAAACACTGCAAATGATGTCAATACTGAGTTCTGAAGAAATACTTAAGACAAATAAAGGCATAATGGAAAACCTGTCAGTGGTATCATGTCTTTGAAATTGATTCAGAAATTACTGACAGGATTGTGACTCAGTGGAGGAATATCCAATTTAACAAGTAGGAAATCACATCTTAAACTGCGTCTTTTCGAGCCAAAGTTAACAACTTTCATGATGCAAGAAACAACTGTTGTAGCACTAACAATAAAAGTATTTTTTCCTTGATCCATCTAATGTAAAAATTGAATGCATATTTAGTCTCATGAATGTTGTGAAGTCAAAGCTTCATAATTACCTGGATTTAAGTACACCAAATGCTTACTGATTGTAAGAACTGGACTGAAATTCTTTGGTGAATAATGCTGCATTTACAACCTCCCTCACACTCTTACAAAACTACCGTAGTCTGGGATGACTTTGGACAAGAGGGTGAATTCAGACAGTAGGCTGGGAAAACGTATATATGCTTAATTATATCTTTGTCATCCACCTTGATATTAAAACTTCTGATTTCTAAAATCTATTTTATGTTTTGTATTACAGTAAAGCTGGAAATGAGTCATATTCCTAAAAGGTTCCAGGTAGTAGAGTTTGTCAAGGTAGAAATCAAATTCTGAGTTCTCAAAATTTATGTCTAAGCTTTCTCTGGAGCCATGTTCTCACAGTAGTGACAATGCTCTGCTTCACATTTTGGGGAAGTTCAGTGTTTGAGCTTATGTGAATTTCGTACTTTGTAGTCTTTGTTTGTCTCTAGATAAGAGAATTGGAGAATCTAAATTTTGTGTCTATAATTTTTTTTGCAGAGTGGGTTGAATTAAGATAGTCAGAACTATGTCAAGGAAGTACAATATGACAGTTGGAGGGCACCCCATGAACACTGTGGACCCAGATATGCTAGAAGAAGCTGTTGAGGCATAAAAAAAGAGAATGTGATATAATATTTGTAAACCAACAGTTCATTATGATATGAAAAGGCATCCTTTCTAACTTGCCAGAGGGCTGGCTACATAGTGGCAAACAAAGGGGCCAAACTTTTCTTTCATTGGATGTGGAAGAAATGCTTGATCAAAGACTAATAGTTTGCGCTAACTGGGGGTTCCCGTTGATTTTGATGGATCTAAGGATAGTCCTCAAAGTATACCTGGACTGCAGAGAAATGACTATAAAAGTGTTCAGTAACAATCTTATATGCATTAAGTGGGCAAAAGAGTTCATGAAATGGAATAACAATTATCTATCTGAGAGACTTTCACGAAAACATTAAATTTGCACGTGGAGAGGTAGGTCCGAGAACTATAAACTGCTACTTTGAAGATCTCAAGATAGTTCTGAATGGGGTACCAGGAAACAACATTATATACTACGATGAAACTAAACTAACAGATGACCCACGGAGAAAACAAATTGTTGTCTAACGAGGAACTAGATATCTTAAAAGAGTTCCAAACTCATCCAAGACATTGCCTTCATTGATGCTTGCTGCAGCAGGAGATAGATCAGTGTTCTTACTATGTTATATACAATATAATGTACCTGTGCAATACCTGGACAACCAGGGGTTCTTAAAGGTCCAATTCAATTGCAGTAAGAATGAATGGCTTGGAACAATTTGGTTTGAAGATTGGTTCATTCATCTTGTGTTGACATATAAAGACGTTTTTAAGTCAAAGAAATCTTGATTGGAGATAAACTGAGCAGCCGCTTTTCCATCCATGTGATTTATAAGTATGGTGAAGAGGAAATTTCATTTGTATTTCTAACTTCAAATTTCACACACTTAGCACAACCTATAAATGTAACAATTTGACAACCAATGAATATATTCTGGAGGCAAATCCTACATAAATGGACAATGTTTGCCAAAGGAAGAAGGTGTCCTTTCATCCCCAAAGACGTATGTTCCCGACTTCTGAAACACAAGAGGAAAACATGAAGTTTTTTATTTGAAAATGTGAAATCATACCACATGATTCAACTCCAATATAAACCATCTCTCACAGCAAACAACATCAACTCTGGTACAGGAAATCAACCACAAACGAAAAATGCTGCAGATGTTGATGTTGCATTTATACAGATTTTACAGAATATGCGTAGCTTGTATGAGGTGCGACAAAAAAAATAGGGTAAAATGCCCCTAAAGTGCTCCCAGGAAAAGTTCATCTCTGGAGGACCTTGAAGGAAGGATGAAGATAGCAGTGAAGAATAGCAGGAAGAAGTGGATGAAAAAGTTACACAGGAGAGAAAAGCAGTGAAGAAGAAAGCACAAACGAAGAAGCTCAGGAGAAAACTGATAAAGAATAAGAGGAAATACAGTCAGGAACATATAGAATGAGAAGTAGAAGCGAAAGAAAGTTAGTGATCAGTAAGCTCTCCAATTTATTGGCATTAAAACCTGTGAAGCGAATAAGAGATCTTAAGGAAGGGAACTAGGTGCTGGTTAAACTTGGTGGGAACTCCAAAAGACTATTCATTGCCAGTACTGAAGTTACCTATTATAAGAATAATGACCTTGAGATCTTCTTTCTCAGGCATTAAGGATTGAAGCCAACATATTTTTGTATCCTAAACAGGATGACAAGGAACTTATTGACTTTGACCAGATTGTTCGAATACAATGTATCACAGAATCTTAAACGCGGAGTCCTACAATTTGACGTTGATGCGATGGAATGGATGTAATAGCTAGATCTGGTATGATCATGAATTGTAATTACACACACGATCCTTGCATTGTTATTACGTTGGAAAATAGCCTTTAGGTCAAGAATTAGCTCATTATATATGCTGTACGTTCCTTTTTTGTCACATTTATCTTCCTTTTTGTTTGTAAACATTTAAAAGGCCAAACGAAGAGCCAGACTCATTATATATGTGATATTTGTTTTCCCGTGTCACAATTATTTGTCTTTTTAGTTCGTAAATTTTAGATATTTGAATATCTTAATAAGAAGCCTTTACTTAATGGAAAACTAGACTGGGTATGGTGACGAACTGTAATTACACACATATTCTTTGCAAAACTTGTATGTTGGTAAATACAGGTCAAGAATTAATCCATTATCAAATTACACATATTCTACTTTTGCCATAATTATTTACATTTTAGTTTGTTAATGTTACATATTTTTCGTCCGAATTGCTCCAATAACAACGCGTAAGTAAGAAATGGTAGTTTCCGAATTCTATGGGGTGGCTTCCGACAATATTTAGCAAGTCTATATATATATATATATATATATAT